GAAGAACGAAAGATAAAGGAAGAAAACCAAAGTTTGTGTGATACTACAGTTTCCTTAAAACAGATTCACCGCCTCCCGGTAGGAGCTGGAGGTACGCCGGTGTTTATCTCCTAAGACACAACGGTCGAAAATAGTTAATGCAGAAGTACCTTCTGAATAGTTTCGGCGAACTTGACAATGACTACACTCTCTCTAATAAGAACCAAAGAAGAGGCTAGCAATAGAAGATAGGAAAAAAAAAATTTGGTGTAAAATAAACATCTCCAACTTTTAATCTCAAAACACCATCTATATTTTCCATCAAAAATTTCTCTAAAATTCTTCTTCCAAGTTGAAGGGGAAATGCCTCTATTTATACTAGTAGGGGAATCCCTAGCCATGAAGGTCATTCATCAATAGGGCTATCAAATGCCATTAACCAAGGCCATCAACTCCAGCCATTAGGGCTAGAGTTACAAAGGTTGAAAACCTATGGCCACTAATAGGGCCATCAATTCCATCATCAAAAGATGAGAGTTACAAAGGTCTAAACCTTCCATGTGTGCTTAATATATACAAATAAATATGTATATAATGATGGTTGAATAAACCAACTAGATGGGCCACAAAATAGATACTAATGTTGGGTCATAACCCGATCCAAACCTAATTCTCAAACACATGCAAAAGCTAAGTCCAACACAACATAGTTTAGCCCAAGCTCAAGATTAAGTCCAAGTCCAAGTCCAAGACCAAACCCAACATATACACAAGCACACAAGCTTAGGCCTAGTCTAAACTAAGACTAAGTCCAAATTTAAGCCCAACTTTATTGATGTCCACTTTATGAGATAATTCTCATTCACAACTCAATGGTTTCGGTTCATTATTTTTGTATAGCAATCTTCTCAGTTAAGAAAATACAAAACCACTCAAACCCACTTTAACCGCTGGTTGGGTTCCACTTTAATTTCAAATTAAAGTTTCTGAAAAATTATTATTTTCCAACAAATAAAAAAGATGACATAAGGTCATCTCCAATATTTAACCAAATTCATTTATGACATACATTTCTGCATGGCATTGTGTCTATATAGAGTGCATTTTCAATAGCTTTAAATGAGGTAGATGGTGGAGGGAGTAGTGAGGTGGGTCAATTTGTTTAATGAAGTAGTTGGTTGGTTGTGTTTGTAAATTAGGCATTCATGAAACCACTTTTTGAAGTGTGCAGGATATATGATGGTGAATTAGTTGGATGGTTGTGTGTATATATCAAATTTTGGATATATATATATAATTCATTTGTAATTCATTTGTGAAGTCCGAGGCATTTATTTGTAATTCATTTGTAATTTATAATGGTGAATATATATAAGAATCATGAGTGATTTGTAATTTAATAAATGTAGATACAGAACAAGAAAATTAGTTATTCACTAAAGTAAGCTATATGTTATAGGTATCCATGTTAGTAGTCCAAATCCATATCAGTAGTCATCCTTGTGATTGACACTATTGTTATCCAAAATTCAATCTTAAGGACTCATCAACACAATATGTCAAAATAATCAAAAAACAAAATAATCAATTAACAAAAAATATGTTGATAAAAATCACTTTCTTAACAATACATTTCACATGCACAAAACGAAACATCAATAAATTATCACATCCGTACATTCAAAATTCACACTATTTTCGGTATTGACAAAGTTAACAGACCAATAATACTAGAAAAAATAGATGTGTATAGGGTGAAGAGCACCAACAACAAACACTGACAGTATTTGATTAACAACAAAAATGATGTGTGTAAATGAAGTTTAAGAGCAACAACAAACACTAACAGCCTTCCTTGCGTAATCACCTCCTAATCAAAAAAATCAACCAAGAGTTCATGTTCTCATCCATGTGGTGAAGTTAGTTTTCATCATAAAGATGCCACATATATGCTCTATTAAATCATTGCGAAGGGCATGATATGCATTCTTATCTCTAATACCTAAATGACGGGACATAAATAATTAGAAGCCATTGTTACTGCTACACGAAAGTTGTACTGGTGAGTTGGTTGATAAAATTTCATAATCGAAATCAAGATGCTCATCTCTGTCATCTTCGACAATTATATTGTGCAATATAACGCAATTCTTCATTATGTCACCAAGCATTTTGGGATCCAAAAAACATATTGCACCATCTACAATTGCAAATCGGGATTGAAGCACTCCGAATGCCTGCTCTACATCCTTCCTTGCTGACTCTTGCGTCATTGCAAAATGTTGCTTCTTTGCTCCTTGGCGAGAAAAGATTATTTGAACTAGGCGTTGCCCATTGAGGGTATATACCATCAGCAATGTAATAACTCATATTATAAGTGTGTCTGTTAATAGTGTAATAAGAAGACAGAGCTTTACCTTGGGCAGGATTAGAAAATAAGGGCGATCGATCCAACACATTCAAGTCATTGTGTGATCCAGGCATTCCAAAAAATGCATAGCAAATCCACAAGTCATAAGAAGCTAGTTCTTCAAAAATAATAGTTGGCTTTTTCTGATGGCCTATGTATTGACCTTGCCATGCCGTTGGACAATGTTTCCACTCCTAATGCATGCAATCTAAACTTCCCAACATACCCGGAAACCCACGAACCTCTCCAATAGCAAGTAATCTAGCAATATCAATTGTTGTCGGAGATCTAAGGTATTTGGGTCGAAATAATTCAATTATTGAATTGCAAAAGTGTTTCAAACTTTCAATTGCCATGCTTTCCCCAATTCACACATAATTATCAACTGCATCTGCTGCCACTCCATATGAGAGTATTCTCATTGTTGAAGTCATCTTTTGAAGTAGAGAGACAGTCCGAGGATCTGAGCTGCATCTTTTTTTTGAACAAAATATGGATCGTGTACTTCAATGGCATTCAAAATTCACAGATACAAAGAATGACGCATCCTAAAACGTATTCGAAATGTTGTAGGTGAATAAACTAAATTTGTTGCAAAATAATCCGCAAACAATACTTCGTGGCCCTTCCATCTATTGCGACGTATGTATTTATGTCCTACAATAAAATCTCCTCTTTTCTTTGATCGATCACTTGCTATCAGAATCTGTATCATACTAGCATTATTTATCTCATAAACACTCAGAAGTTTCATAATTTTTTCATCATTAGACTCATCATCAGAGAATGAGGAAGAAGAAGAGGAAGAAAAATGAAATGAACAAATAAGAACTTGAGCTGGTCATTATGCTCTGGTTTTCAGTTATGGTTGATTCTAGATACAACATTGTTTGTTTGGTTTTATATAGTACATGGGTTAATTTGTTTATATATGTTTTTGGAAGGAAATAATTATTGGAAGAAAAAAAAATTGGAAAAGATTTAATGGAGGGAGAAAGAAATGGGAAAGGAATTAAGGAAACAGAAATGAAGGGAAAAAAAATTCATTTTCCTCTTTCCGGTCGACCGGCCGATCATCCCCCGGACGTCCAATGTGTTTTGATGAAAGTTATAGTATTTATCATTAGAGTGATTGATATCAGATTAAGAAATTCGTCTTCTTTTTTTTTATAATTTTAAATTTGATAAATTTTTTGATGAATCGTTAAAAATGTCCTAAGATATAATTATATCATATAGAGTAGTTGGAAAATATGAATCACGAGCCTCTGCCATTTCTCTGCCATAATACACTAGTTTAAGTTAAAGCAAATAAAAGGTGTGATCCTAATGCTATTTTACTTTTGTTTAGCTTAATTGTTGGATTATACTATCTTCCCCCTAGATTGTTATTAGTTTATTATTTTATTTTTTATTATCTTAAAATTTATGTTCATTTTGAAAAGTCAAAACTTTAAATTTTGAAATTTCAATAGTGTCCTTGTTAATAATTATAAATAAATTAAAAAAATAAGAATAGAATAGTACTTTTAAAATTAATTTCTTAAAATTTAAATTCAAATAAAATGATTACTAATCTCTTAAAAAAGTTGAATTTTTTCAAAAAGGGAATCAAAATAGGATAAAGGGAGTACAATTTAACCAACATATCTTGGTGTATTAAAAAGTACAACAAGATCATTACACAAACTAAAACACAGGAATCAAACTCAAAAAATATTAGAACAAATAAGAAATTAGGAAAAAAATTCAAGGAATAAACTCATGATAAGTTCTATAAGCCTAACAACTTTGGACTGAACTTGTCTCTAATCGGAGATAAGCCAAATCCTTTTAAAAAAAAAAAAACAAACAAACAAAAACAAACAAACAAACAACGTGTATACAAACTACACTTCGATGCTTCTTATTTTTTTATTTTTGATTCATATCACGTGATGCTTCTTCTTCATTGTATATCTAACATTTACAATATTAATGCTCTGTTTGTTTAGATGAAAAATATTTTGTAACGAAAGATATTATTTATGAAAAACTTTTCAAAAAATTGTTTCTATGTTTGGTAATGGTGGTGATGGAATGGAGGTAGAGGTGTAGGTAGAGGTGGAGGCGTGGTGGTGAGGTACTGGTGGCAATTATGGTGATGATGGTGGTGGTGTAGTGTTGGAGGTGAGAATGACAGTAGTAGTGTAGTGGCATTGATAATATTTTAGTTCTGAAAATGATTTTCGCCTTTTAAAAGTTAAAAATATTTTTGCTCAAATAAATTTATTTTCTATTGACTATGAAAAATATTTTCTGTTAACTTTTATTTTTTATTATATCAAATGCCATAAATTATGAAAAATATTTTTCAAAAAATATTCTCAACCCAAATAAGCAGAGCATAAGATAAGAAGTTTTTGTCTCTAAATTTCCACCATTATGTTGCAATGAATCTCAAAAGTTAGACCAATTTTTCAAATTTAATGATCAATGAACAAATTACTTTCATCTATTACTTCTCTCTCATATTGTCTCTAATTATCCATCAATGGTCGACATGTATATTATTTTCTTATATACACACTAGCTTGACTCAGTCAACACGGTGTTTTTGTATTTAAAAAGGCTTTTGCTCAACTCATCCAATGGATGCTTTTTCTAACATGTCTAGCATCAAACAAATCATCCAACGGATATCTCTCTTTATTTTCCTCCTCGTTGAGCATTTTCATCGCTCTCATGCGGACGTTGGCACTGCTGCCAAGTACAGTCCTCCATATACACGTAAGTATATTCATTCGGTATAAACACTGATTATATATACTCTCAATTATGGAGTAATTAGATTGGCAAAAATAATTATTAATAAGTTATTTTTGATCAAAAAGAAATATAAAAAAAATAAATTCATATAAGAAAAATAAATTTTAAATTTTTTTCACCAAAACTCTTCGTTGAATTTTTATTTTTTATAAATAGATTTTGAAAATTCAACTTAGTAGACATGTCTTGCAATTTCTATATAATAATTTGAGTCTCATATAATTCACCCATAATGACATGATGTGATATTTATGTGTCAAGTTTTAATTTATTACAAATTTAATTATGTAACATTTAATTTTTTTTTTCATTTCATTGTGGAACTTACACTGTCAGTTTTTCTTTAACATTTCTCAATTCAATAATTGGATGTGCATTCACATAACTAACCAGAGCAATTTGAGATGGAACCGAACACAATTCACTCACATATGTACAGACTCACAAAAAGTAGGACTCGCCTCGTATCATAGAATTGTGTCTAATTGTGTGATCGGATTTATGCAATATTAGACTGTTTCCTCAAAAGTTATATAGTTCTATAGAGCACAACAATTAGGCTTCTGAGTTTGATCTAATGACTGTTTATCAATCTGGGTTTTAGCCACGGCGTGCTACGGAAGCGACCCGTCGCAGTTTCCGTCGAGCAACCTGTTTGCGGCAGCGGGGGATGGGATATGGGACAATGGGGCGTCATGTGGGAGGCAGTATTTGGTGAGGTGTATCAGCGCCACCACACCCTATGCTTGTGTTCCTGACCAAACTATTCAGATAAGGATTGTCGATTATGCCCCTGCTGCCGCTTCCACTCCTTCTGCCACCGGCACCACCATGGTTCTGTCTGAAACGGCGCTTGGAGTCATTGCAAATTCTTCTGCTAATTCCATCAACATTGAATTTCAACAGTAACTCTCTTTCTCTCTTGTCATATTAAACAATTAAAAATGACACCATTTTGAGACATTATAGAAATACTACGAGCAATGCATTATAAAGGATTTGAATTCTATGGTTCCTCTAAGCCATGCATTGAATAATTGAAATTAGCGTTGTCATCTATGAGCTTCACTTTGTCAAGGTTGCTCTGTTTTCTTTGACATTGGGGATGGATGTCAAACTACCACTTCATTGATCATCTTTTGGATGATCATCATGCTAAATGTAATACTTGTGGTGCATATAGCTCATGTTTCACATTGAAGTTAATTATGAATTTTTTTAGTGTTTGACTATGGACCATAATGTAAGTTCAGCCAGTAAATTATTAAATCAAAATTAATTAATTACGTCTCACTGTAGTTTTTGTTAGGTCTCAAAATGGTGTTTGTTACAATATATTGGCTTTAATTACCATCGAAATGGTCTTTCATTATATTCCAAAAGTAGTGTTAGTTACAATCTAATGTGACTATGATCAATGGCTCCAATAAATTTTTTTATATTGAACATTTCTAAAAGTGAAGGTGGATACAACATGCACCTTTTTTAAATACATAGGACAAAATTTCTCTTTTTTGTATGTGGTTGATTATAGTTAATTTTGAATTACCAACTATGTTGATATAGTACTCCCAATTAGAACAATAGTCATATAACAAGTGGAGTCGACTAACTAACCCTCCTTGGTCAATTAGGTGGGAGATTAGTTCGTTTATTTCCTTTAGCACAATTTAATTAATTGAGAACGCCATATGCACATTAATATAATGGGATCTTAGGCCTCATTTAGGAACAGGTTATTTTAATAATTTTTTGATTTTTTGCCTAAAATATGAGATAAAAAAAACTAGTATATTTGGGATGACTTTTTGACTTTTTATAAAAAGATGTGCAAAAAGTAGAGAAAAAATAAAAATTTTGACTTTTTGGTATAAGTTATAGGCTTTTTAGTTTTTTTAGTAACTTTTTAGTTTTGGGGCTAAAATATCTACTTGCCAAACGAGGCCCTAGGAGTACTAAATAATTTTTCTATTTCACTTCTCTTTACTTTGCACACATAAAAACAGATTTTTTTGGTTTGGATATTCTTCTTGGTACTAAAAAACTGTTCATATCGTGCTATGCAGGGTGTGATATGGAAAATTGGTAATGGGGAGACGACTGGGATGACCTTTGGTTTGATTTGTTTGTCAAGGAGCTACGAAAGAAGCTGCATAGAAAGAAGCTGCAAAATGTTTATCATCTAGAAAGAAGGTGCAGAGAAAGAGTGAAACAAGTATTCAAAATGTTTATCGTCTAGAAAGACTACAAATTTGAGTTTAAGTCATATGTTAAATTTTTTTAAATAAAATTACTGATAAAAATTCGTTAAGGCTATATTTGAATCATATATTTAGATAAAAAAATTTAAAACAAATAAATGAAATGAAAATAAAATATTTTTTATTTTAAATTTTTATTTAAATTTTTTATCCAAACATAACCGTGTATACAAGTGTATAGGCTTTACTAGAACCATGTGAAGAAAAGTCTAGCTATTATATGTTCATTGCTCATTGATTGGTTTATTTGAAAACTCCACTCTCTATGATGATGACATTTCACTAATTCTAATTCCATCAATTTACGTGTAGTGTACAACCAACCAAAGAAAAGTTACAAGTCTTCGAATGAACTTTCATCTTTTGTTGTTTTGGAAGCTTCAACCAGACAAATCAAGTCGACTTCTTCTAGCATGAAAGGTTCATTAAAATAATAATTTTAAATGGAACTTTTTAATTTTAAAATAAATTATATTCACCACTTTAGTTTTAATATAATTATATTAATTTTTTTAAAAATTTTTTAATTTATATAATAAAAAAAATTTTGTCAATAATTTGTGAGTTATATAAATGAAAAAAATAATGTTATCATCTCTTTTATATGAAAATGTATACTTTATGTTATTTATTTTTTATTTTTTCACTATCTAAATTAATTTCGATCCATTTAATCTTCTTAAAAGAAATATCAATATAATTATGTTAAAAATTATAAGACTTACTTTTTTTTTTTTTCAAACATCATGGAAGGATGGTGTAATTCACCCTTAATTTTAATATTGATGTAAAATATTTTATTTTAAATTTATTTCTTCTAACTTTTTGATTGGCAAAATGACTAATATACATATATATATATATATATGTCTATATAATAAAGCAGAATGATTTTTAAATTTGTCTTACACACATTTGTCCTACTAGGACATTTGGATGACTCAGATCTATTTAAATTATAAAATAACGGCTGAGATATATTTTTCAATAAATATCTTACATGTACATTTTCTATTTTCCCGCTTTTCTCTCTTATTTTTTCATTTTCTCACCTATCCTTTTATGATCCTATAATCCCACATTCCTCTCTCTTTTCTTTTTATTTTTTTATTTTATCCCATTTTTATTTTTCTATCTATTTGTTTATTTTTTTTATTTTCTCCTTTTTGATCACTTATTTTTATTCATATTATATGGAAAAGTCTGCGATCCCAGAATTAGGAGCCATATTTTACTGTGTGTAGTAGAGATTTTATTAATGAATTTTTTAGTCCACAAATTAAATCAATTTGAATAATTAATTATTATTTTTAAATACCTATTTAATAGAGTAGGACGATTTTTGAATTTGTTCTACATACATTTGTCCTACTAGGACATTTGGAAGGATGAAATCTATTCAAATTATAGAACAACGGCTGAGATATATTTTTCAATAAATATCTTACATATACACTTTTTATTTTCCCGCTTCTCTCTCTTACTTTTTTCTTTTCTCACCTATTCTTCTATGATCCCATGATCACACCTTCCTCTCTCTTTTCTTTTTATTTTTTTAATTTCTCCCATTTTTATTTTTCTATCTATTTGTTTATTTTTTTTTTTATTTTCTCCTTTTTGATCACTTATTTTTATTCATATTATATGGAAAAGTCTGTGATCCCAAAATTAGGATCCAGATTTTATTGTGTGTAGTGAAGATTTTATTAATGAATTTTTTAGTCCACAAATTAAATGAATTTGAACAATTAATTATTATTTTTAAATGTATTGAATAAAGTAGGAAGATTTTTGAATCTTCAACATATTTTAATAAAGCATGACAGTTTTTGAATCTTCAACATATTTTTGTTTTATTAGGACATTTGGATGACTTAGATCTGTTCAAATTATAAAACAATGGCTGAGATATATTTTTCAAAAAATATTCTACATATACAATTTCTACGTTCCTGCTTCTCTCTCTCTTACTTTTTCCTTTTCTCACACCCTCCTCCCATGATCTCATGATCGGGCCTTCCTCTCTCTTTTCTTTTTTCATTTTTTGTTTTTATTTTCTCCCGTTTTTATTTCTCTCTCTATTTGTTTTTTTTTATTTTTATTTTCTCCTTTTTGTTCAATATATTTTACACATATTTCCATACAATGTATGTATGCCTGTAATACACTAGGACATTACGGGCATACATACAATTTCCATATAATTATATAAGTAAAAGCAGTATTATATATATGCCCGTGAAAATAGCTATATATTATAGAAGCAAAAGTGAGTGTTCGTGAGGAGTTTTGTGAGAACTTCAAAATTTTATAATAAATTTGTGATTTTATCAAATTAAAAAATAAATTTAAATACTGTTGGGATTACAATTATATTCTAATCCTAATATTACTTACACCGTGCCTTCAGGCACGGACATATGCTAGTATATATATAAGATCCAGTGTCACTGCTGTACGTGCCCGTGGAACTCATTTCAAGTCCTATTTTGATGATTTGAACCGCTGAAAATTTAGGAAATATTGAGAACAACACACCTGCAAAAAATCAAGTTAATCAGATATTAATAACATGTTTAACAGGTTATTGATATCTGATTAACTTGATTTTTTTACAAGTATAATATTCTCGATATTTTCTAAATTTTCAACAGTTTGGATCATCAAAATAGGACCCAAAATGAGTTCCATAGGCTGCACAACAGTAACTGTTATGCTTCACGCACAGCAATGACACTGGCTCCATATATATATATATATATATATATAATGTTGGGTGATATGTACCTTGTGGAAGTTACGAAATTTGTAGTGTTACTTACCATAAATGCCATAATTAAATTCTCTTCGATTATAATTAAAATAAAAAAAAATTGAGTCATAACTAAATACTACATAAGGTATTAATTAAATTTTTTTTTGAATCATAACCAAATTAATGTCATAAAAAACATCACAATATATCATAACTAGCACATGTGTATAACCAAGTCATAATTAATAACACAATAACTCATAATGAAATACTATAAAAGTCATAACTAAAGAATATGATACACATCCCATAAAATTTCTTTTTAATATTTGTTAACATATCATTTTCAAGTGATAGCCTAGCGAAACTATTTAATCATTCTTGTAAAATAGTCGTTGATCTTATATAGGATTTTATTAATGTTAGATTTAAACCCACATCGTCAATTTAAGTCACACAAACTTGATTAATATAATGCAAAAACTTCTCCACTCATTGTCAATTGGTTTTGTGTTGGATATCTTGGATGGTTTTTACGTCATGTGGTACAAACGGTCCATCTCTCAATTTGACCCCTTAATCACCTCCACGTGTTATCGGATAGCATGTGAGGGAGAGTGCTAGATTTAAACCCACATCGCTAATCTAAACCACCCAAACTTGGTTAATCTAATGAAAAAGCCTCTCCACTTATTGCCAATTAATTTTGAATTGGATGGTTTAACAAAATTTAATGTTAAAAAACTTATTTATTCACAAGTAGCATCACAACTATAACCCCAAGAATATGAATTAGTTGATGAGGTCTGGGATTTAGGGTTTACTCTGTCTAAGGTCTCAAGTTTGACTTCCTCATCAGAACTCTTGGAGGCATAAACTGTAGGGTTCAAACCCTGTTTCGAAAAGTTTGTTTGAACTATAGGGACTTAGGCCTGGTTTGGGATACATGAAAAAAGCTAAAAAGTCAAAAAATTAAAAAGTTATCACTATTCACCAGAAAAAATATAAAAAAAAATTAATTTTACACTTAATTATTACAACTGGTGTCTGTCTCCCCACAGACTTTGCCGACTTTTTGGGAAAAATTGCAACAAATAACACTGTGCTGTTTGGCCAATGGGGGCCCATCATGTGTCCCGTTTTGATAATCTGAATCGTTCAATGTGTAGAACTCATCGAGTAATATATGCCTGTAAAAAGTCACGTTGATCAGATATCGTTAACTACATAATCAAATGAATTTTGTATAAAAAATGGATGGTGTTATAGTTAACAGTTGACAAAAAATTAACATGATCAGATAGTTATCGATATCCGATCAACATGATATTTTACAAGCATATAGTACTCAACAAGTTCTACACATTACACGGTTCCGATTAGAAAAACGGGACCCGTGGTGGGCCCTTACGGGTCGAACAACACTATCCAATTCAAACCCGAAAAGGAGGCAACTATTTCCTATCTCCTAATCAGCCCACTACTCTGCCAGACTGTACAGGCTACTTTACTAACTTCTCTTATACACTTATTTATACAATTTCTTAATACACATTTTTTCGTAAAAAGTCAAAAAGTTAACCCAAACATCCATCTTTTTTCTCTCAACTTTTTAGTCAAAAAAAATAAAAAGTGCACTTATTTAGGGCACCCCAAACAATCCCTTAGTCAGATGCACTCAAGTTGGCCAAAGATACCTCATATATCCAAAAAAAAAAAAAAAATGCAACTATTGTGAATGATTTTTTTATAAGCAATGCATGTATTTTAAAAAATAAACTAATCTTTTTATATAATCTGTGTCAATTGTATTTTTATTTGTTGTATAATATCTTTTAAAACTTTCTCTTTATAAAATAAACCTAAACCATCAATATAAAAAAACATTAGACCAAATTATACTTGAACTCCTTGTAGTTTGCTTCTTCTGTGGTTTTGGTCCACATAATTCTAATTGTATTAATTTTACCTTTGATTTTTTTTATGTTAATTTAGTTCAATTAATAATGCTCGTTTAGAAATTGGATTGAAATCAAAGGGTAAAATAGTTCATTTACTCTCCTCAAAATTATTGATAGTTTGGCGTTTAATTTGAAATGATCAATTCCTTTTTGAATGGACCATTTTGCTCTTAATTGCTGTCTAATTTCTTATTGAGTGTTATCAAACTAAATTGAAATAATCTGAAAAAAATAAAGTGATAAAATTGATACAATTAGAACTATAATGGCCAAATTAACACAAGTGATAAAACAAAAGGACCACAGGTATAATTTATTCAAAATATTATCATACTTCAA